CGGCAGTCAATTTCTTTTTTAATTTTCTGTTAATAATAACAAAGCCTTCTTTATATGGCTGAAAACTTCACTATTTTCACCGTGAGTTTTTATGAGCTCGGCATCCGGTATGCCGGTATTCATAACTTTGAAGCTCGCCGCGAGCTTCCGGACAGGAAATTTAAAATACTCCGTGTCCGGCAGTCGAATATTTGCCCGAATATTAAGTCATTACACTCAATATATTCGAGCTATACCATCCTAGACGGTGTTATTGTTGTTTACATGGCTAAAGAGTACGATTACCAGCTTTGAAACTGCCGTGAATTGTAGTGTTTTCCACGAGCTTCCGGACAGGAAATCGTAAATACTCCGTGTCCGGCAGTGAAATATTTCCCGAATGTTAAGTCGTTCTACTTAGTATATTCGAGCTATAACAGTTGACAGTTACTTGAGTTTCACGCACAAAGCGATGAGCTCATGTTTCAGTTTCACACTACAGGTATTTGTATCAACACATGCATTTCCTTTTTAATGTATGTATCTATTTTCAGGGAAGCACGCAGCCTGGGAGGGTGGTTTGTGAGAGCCAGAGTCCGGGGGTATGCCCCCCTGAGAATTTCAAAACATCAATTTTTAGTCCGCATTCCTTGCATTCTGAGGTCTCATTACATCATATGTTTTCTAATAGTTTCTCTTTTCTAACACTCACTCCCCCCTAACCCTAACCCTTTGTGGCCCATGGGGGAGGGAAGGGGGGTTCCAGCAGTCTCGTGTACATAAAATGGTGTAGCTCGAATCTATTGGGTGATTTCCAGTCCGTACTGCGCAGTCTTAGCACCCCAATGTTTATAAACATTATAAGTCTCACTTGATGGAATGCAAATCAATGTTATTCAGTACGAATGACATACCTTGTCTTTGAGTCCTTTCAGATTCTTTTCCCAACACCTTCATTAATTTTTACAGCTGCAAAGTTGCAAGGGAGCAGGAGTGGTGCAATGGTGAGAGCACTTGCCTCCCACCAATGTGGCCTGAGTTCAATTCCTGGATCCGGTGTCATGAGTGGGTGGAGTTTGTTGTTGGTTCTCATCCTTGCCCCAAGGGTTTTACCCCTGGTTCTCCGGTTTTCCTCCTTGTTAGGAATGTCTTGATGCCTGTGAGCACGCGTTACGTGCCTGTCCTGTTCTCAGGAATCATGGAATTGTAAGATATGTGCTCGCAAGTATGTAGTTTTGGCTGGACAGAAATGGATTAAAGTGTTTGTTGAGTTTTAGTGAATTTTTGATCCTTGTGGCGACCTAAACCATTCACCCTTTTCCCAACACTCCCTCCACAAAAACCAACAGTTCTAAATTCTAATTTGATCTTAATGCAGGGACACGTTGTAACGAGCTCATGAGAGCCTCCCTTTTTCATCAAGTGATATGAGAAAGATACGTGCCATAATGGTGGTTGACTAAAACTTTCAATTTACCCCATGTAATTAGTTACGAAATGTGTTAAATTTTTTGATGTCTTACATGAAACAAAACAAACAAACAATTCTCGAGAGTGTGCAGTACGGACTGGCCACAAAGGGTTAGGGGGGAGTGAGTGTTAAAAAAGAGAAACTATTAGAAAACATATGATGTAATGAGACCTCAGAATGCAAGGAATGCAAACTAAAACATGATTCTTCAAAATATTATTTTCAGGGGGGCATACCCCCGGACTCTGGCACTCGCAAACCACCCTCCCAGGCTGCGTGCTTCCCTGAAAATAGATACAAACATTAAAAAAGGAAATGCATGTGTTGATACAAATACATGTAGAGTGAAACAGAAACATAAGCTCATCGCATTCTGCATGAAACTTGAGTAACTTTCAACTGTTATAGCTCGAATATACTAAGTAGAATGACTTAACATTCGGTAAATATTTCACTGCTGGACACGGAGTATTTACTATTTCGTGTCCAGAAGCTTGTGGAAAACACTACAATTCACGGCAGTTTCAATGCTGGTAATTGTATTCTTTAGCTATGTAAACAACAATAACACCGCCTAGGATGGCATAGCTCGAATATATTGAGTGTAATGACTTAATATTCAGGCTAATATTCGACTGCCGGACACGGAGTATTTTAAATTTCCTGTCCAGAAGCTCACAGCGAGCTTCAAAGTTATGAATACCGGCATACCGGTTGCCGAGCTCACAAAAAACTCACACTACGGTGGAAATAGTGAAGTTTTTAGCCATATAAAGAATGATTTGTTATTATTAAATGAAAATTAAAAAAGAAATTGACTGCCAGACACAGAGTATTTTGAAAACACTGTCCAGCTGCCAGACATAGAGACACAGCGAATATATGTATTTCAACCAGCGCATTCAAAATCAAGCCAGCAAGATCATAAAGTGAAGCACATACTCTGTCGCCCAGCTATGGCGTTTCAACACCGCCAAAATTCAATTGGTAAAGTTTTCCTATGACCCCCTATGTACATTAATTATGTATTCCATTTCATAAAGACTAAATGTAAAGGTTTCTTTGCAACACTCTACGTATAATTAATATATGGGGTTAGATGGAAATCTCGCCTTCAATTGATCGATTTTCTTTCAAACATAAACACATTAACTTGTACTTTGCATTGTTAACTGTAAAGTATGAACTTGTGATCCAAACATTTATATAAGCCTTTTAAAATCCATTAGAAAATTTAATCATGCTCTTCAACCATTCAAATAGTCAGTTAAACATGCAATTAATCAGGTAAAACATTTAATTGTGAACATCAAACCCTTCCTGTAACATTGGAATGTTAACTTCAAACAAGTGGGTCCTCAATGTAAAGTTGACATTCCTTATCAGTTCTTTTTGTAATATTTGAATTAGGTGGCTACCTCAGTAAAGCACCATTCGGAGAATTATATGAAAAACAATTTCCCTCTCATTTGTCCATTCGTTCCATTCAGAATAAACTGGCTTCAATATGAGTTTTTATGTTGAACTTCACTATCTAACTGGCAGTGCCCACAGGTGATATGAAGCAAATCATGGGTTCTGATTGACCACCTGTGTGGGCAAGGTGGCCCATTTTGCCTGCTTGGGATTGCCCACTTTGATCTTGTGCAAGAGAAAAGGTGCCTAGAACAGACTTACAAAGTTTGTACCTTTTGTACAATGTGGGTGATGAAGTTGAAAAAAGCGGCAGAAGACAGTCAAAACAAAGAAAACATAAATGACCCTTGTAAGTTTAATGTGCAACAAACAATTCAATATTATTATTGACTGCAAGCTCTCAACTAGTCACAATAGGTCTGTATAGGAGTGTTACCAATACACAAGGTGGCAAAGCATGTGAGGCATAGTGCAAGGCATAAAGACAACCTTTTGAAGGAAGTTTAATCAAATAAATAGATTGTCAAAGACTGCATGTGGCTATCGGTAAAGCACAAGTTTTACAGCACTGAAAAGAACTAAAATTCTATAATGATGCTAGAAGGTAGTGTTGCAGAAAATTGGTCACACATGAAAAACAGAAAGCCACATCTGACATCTTTATAAGTACCCTGTTTCTCTGGAAAAAGATGATTGAAGAGTGTATTGTCTAATTTACATTAAACCAACAATTGGATGGTAACGAAGAATAATATTAACAATAATAATAATGATAACAATACTAATATGATAATCATTTAAAGGGGCTAACTCAATAGCCTCATGGTTCCCCAATCCCCTGGGCTCCAACAATGATTATCTTAGTTTGCTTATTTTAATTTCACCTCTTAATTATTAATTTTCTAACTTATTTTATTGCATTCATTTTTTTGGAGACTCTTGTTTTACAAAAAGGCATTCCACATTACAGGATATTCAGTCATTCTGAGTCTTAAGATATTCTGCCATTCCACTGATCCACCATTCGTCAATTCCATCATTCAGTTGAAACACTCAAGGTATCAGATTTTGCAACTTGCGTGCTTCTCAAATTTAAGGGCTTTTTTGGCATAAGTCACTGCTTCAAACGGTAGAATGGTCTCTTTTCAAGAAAAAAAGTGTCCTCAAAGCTTCCATGATGTGCAGGTCACATTTATCAACATATTCCTGCAAGGAAAAGTTTTGATATAAATTATGCATTGTTGGATGCCACTGTAAAATTATTTTGAGATATTTATTGTGTTTTGTAGTGTCATAGGAAGAACTGAAAAGATTATATCTTTGGATATACATAATTTACAGATTTAAATGGTAAAATGCTCTCTTCAAATAAAACAAATTTCCCCCAAGTTTTATGGTGCACTAATTACACATATCAAAACATTTCTGCGAGGGAAACTTTTGTTTTAAAGTCATGTGCAATCCTGAAGTGATTGTGAGATATTTATCGCTTTCTGCTGTCTTCTGTAGTGTGATGGCAAGAACTGAAAACATAAGCTTCTAGTGGCTATAGGCCAGAAATCACAAAAGGAGAGGGCTCAACTGGGTCTTGAGTGCAAATGATGAACTTCTGATACTCTGAAAAAAACAACAACAACAACAAGTACCACTAGGAAACATCAGGTCGAAATTGGATCAAGATCAGTATTCTATTGTTGTACTTACTCACTCATCTCTGCACCCAAAAGAACATTGCTATTTTATCAAATTTTGTTAACTCATTGTGAGTTACAGTGATTCCTTCATGTTCTACAAATCCCACCTAAAGGAAAGGAAGGTCTAGGAAAAGTTCATCTCAGAAGAATTTTTCCTTAGGAGTTCAAAAATACATGTAACTGACATTTTGTCTTGTTTGTTTTGTGTTAGTGACAAAAGTGCTTTGAAGTTGCCCACTTTTACAACTTTCATGCTTGGGAAAACACTCTTGGATATTACGTCAGTTATGATGTAGCAATAGTTAAACTTTGTTCAGCACTTTGTCCTTTTTGACCTGTTTGACCTTTGTGAAAACGATTTCTAATACTCCTAATAGTTGAAATGAGGTAAACTGTCTTGTGGTTGAATGTCAAAATACATATTAAAATTCAAAAGGAAAAGGTGTAAGCCTTCACAAGCTACCAGAAAGTGAAATATTAACGAAAAGTTAGCTGGCATAAATAATAACCTGCGAGGATGGCTTGCCAAACCCTGCAAAACCTCAAAACTGCCAAAACAAAGGCTTTCAGCGAGATATACAGGCATGTAGGTTTTCCTTGTTGACCTTCACTTTAAACTGAAAGCTATGTTTACCTTTTCTATATTCTACAAAAATTTCAGGTATTTATTCTATGAGTTTTTTCGAACCATTTTATTGTAGGCAAATAAATTGAAACTCAAAATGGTGGTACACTGTATCTGGTAAATTCTCAGTTGCCACCCTTGACCAAAGCCGATTCTCAACATCGTGCGCTTTCCCAAGCAGTGTATAAACATATCTTCTCTTTCCTAAGTCTGTTATGAGTCCACCAAGTTAATACCATTTTATCTTGCACAAATCATCTTCCTTTTGTAAATTCCGACCGCATTCCATTCACTCTCACGTTTCACCCTCACAACCACTCAGTTAAATCCATCATTCTTAAAAACTTCAAATTACTTCAAAACGATCCAGAGACAAGCACTATCTTTTCGCAGCCTCCGCTCATTTCATTCAAACGCGACAAAAACATAGGCAACTTTTTGGTCAGAAGTTCTTTTCAGACTAATGACCAACCAGGCACTTTTAAATGCGCTCGTGCACGATGCAAAACGTGTCCTTTCATTCACAACACTGATAAAATATCGGGACCTAAACGATCCATTAAGATCACCGATCACTTCACGTGCACCTCCGCCAATGTAATCTATTGCATAACTTGCACTTATTGCAAAAAGATATACATCGGCGAAACAGGCAGAAGACTAGGTGACCGATTCCGAGAACACCTTCGAGACGTGGAAAGGAATGACAAGGACACATCGAAACCAGTCGCTAGACATTTTAATTTACC